TAACATTATCCTTATAATTGAACATTCTTTCAAATAAAAAAAACTTAATTTTTGTGTTGTGTGCTCCTATGTGTTGTGTGCTTTATGAGTCTCATAAAAATTATGTTTGGTATTACGTTCAACTTTTTTTTTTTTTTTTTTAAATCCTCTCATACAAATTACACAATAATGTAATGCTTGTATTTGTACACAATTAGTACTGTTAGTAGGTATGTCAGTAAACTATAATAGTATGTATATTACCTCTCCTCTCATACCGCGACTTGTGTAAAAATTGGCCAACAGCGCGAATCGCGTTTCGTCTTGAGGCAAACAGTGGTGCACTTGGCTCCCAGTCTTGGGATCGACTTTGTAAAGATGAGAACAATTATTATTGTTAACGTTATCGTCGGACGTCAATCGTACGTTTCCGATGAACTAAAAAATTAACCACAATTAACAATTTGACAGATTTTAATGTTTTACTATTCTGTATTAGTTATAATAATAAATAATTCATTACTTTCGCTACCACTTATTATTATAATATATAAAGTTGTGAAATAATATTTCGTTGTTTATATAACTATTAAAACATTATTGAGAATCGTTACATAAACACGAGTAGGTAGGTACTATATTTACCAATATTGTATGCACAGCCATCAGTCATCACACATAATATTATATTTGATCAATTTAAACCAATAAGTTATAAGTACTCGTTATAATCGTTATATATATAGATTCAATATTGTACGAAGCATTATAGTAATATGACCTATACACGCCAATAACTTATCCGTTTATAGTTTAGGTAAAAAACTAGGGTGACCAAAATAAAAATCCTAATAACCACCACATAGTTTAAATACATTTGAATTATATATTTATAGTTAATTGTTTGTTTTTAGTACTTTTTACACAAGTATTAAGGCCCGTTTTAATATTTAAAAACGAATTGTAGATAAATATAGTATAGTTAGGTTATTGTAGGTAGGTACCCATGTTGATAAATAACATTAAATAGATAAGAGTTTATTGGTAAAAAAAATTGTCATATCTGAGGYGCAAGTGCTCCTTTTGCCTTCCCCGAAATACTACACCACATTATATATAGRTACACGTGTCTTACTTCGCAATTGACTCCAACGTGCGGCCACGGACCGGCACCAGCTCCAATCACGAACAGAGGGTCCGTCCCGGTAACTTTCGTGAAGTCTCTGATGTCATATACCTTGTCTAAGTTCACCAAAGGCAGCAAGAACGACGGACTGCCGATGTCGATTACCATTTCGTCACCACTGAGTCCTATATATAAATAAACATGTGTGTGTAGTCAGCAAACTGCAATGAACACTTCAAAAATAAATTAAAAAATATAAATTGTAATTTGTACACAAAGACCTTAAAGATCCATTTAATGGTGGCTATGGTGTTTTGAGTTAAGAAAAAAAAATCCAAATTATTATAATAATATATTGTTTATAGGCATTGAATATAATATGAGCCGGTTATTATAGAAATCATACACGGTTACTATATG